AACAGAAACAGATTTTTAGATCTCTTCTTTTATACTAGGTATGGCATCTCCAGGGAATAGTATGCTAGGACCAGTCTCTATAGAAGAGATCTACAGCTCACTTGCATTCAACCTGGCTTGCATGTTAAGGTGGAGAATAAGCTCAGGGCAGTTCTGCCTTATGCTGAGCAATTACCATACCTCCTGATTAAACCTGCAGTTGAGCGTGCACCAGCCAATCTGCATGAGGCCTTGGGAGGAAATGAGCACCTCGTAGATCCATTTCCCTAAAAGAAGTAGCACAGAGGAACAAGGGCAAGTTTATACTAGCTCAAAGCACATTTCTACAAATTATACTACCAATGCAGTAGAGAAAGGGGTGGGTCTTGGAAAGTTAACACCAGGTCAAACCCAATCCCTCCAAAATCATCCTTCTGTTCGTCAAGAAACAGCTGGAGGAATTTAAGCATTTACAGTCTGAAGCTGCAGTATATCCCCAACCCCTTGACCTCTCAAGTTGTCTAACCTACTATAGCTTCTGCAGGTTTCTGCTCTTTCCACATCATTCTCTCCATGCCCCACTTTTCCACACCCCATTTCTTACCTTTAAACACACAGGTTGTGGCCCTGATGGAGCCAAAGTTACTGTGGCCAATCACCTGAACCAAGGAACAAAAAAAACAATTTTTATTTATTTATTTATTTATTTATTTATTTATTTTTACAGCTAAACAAAACCCCCGCTTCCTTTGGCCTAGCCCTCCATCGCCCATGGACTCTCCCAGTAAATGCAGCCAATTCAAATGGGAGAGAGTTGCTATAAAAGGCAGTGTCTAGGCTCTCAGGATCCCAGAAACAGACTTAGAGCCATTAGCAGCAGCTAGTCCAGAGCCATCTAGATCAGGTGTTGTCAACTGAAGGTACTTGGGAAGGCCCTAGGGGGTACACACAGGCGAGTGGGGACGAAGCACCGCCACACACCATCCCCTGCTGCCATGGAGGCACTGCCCACCCAGTTGGATGCAAGGGGTGAAGAAAGCTCGTATGCAGTAGCTGCTGCAGCTCCATGTTTGGCCGTGTGCCACTCCCCCTACTCACTCCCCACACCCTGCCCCTCATCTGGCCACTGAGGGTACACTGCTCCACGTCCAACCACCGGGGTACACTGATCCAAAAAGATTGAAAACCCCTGATCTAGACGATCTAGGCTTGTGTACAGTCCATAGTGCATGTTATAGTCAAATGAATGCAGAGCTCAGCTAGTGGGATAACGGCCCAATGGGGGAAGCTGGCTCCTAATAAATGAGAACATACAGATGCAGCTCCTGCAAGGAAAAAGGGGAAGCACTGCTGAGTGTAAGAGGGACAGATACCTAAATGTTAGATAGGCTACAGGCTCGATACAGCCGGCCAGAGATTCCACCCTATTTACTGTATTGCCCTCTGCAAATTCTCCTGACGCTAAAAGAACGTCACCAGAGCAGACAAGGAAAAAAGTTTAAAGGGGAAATTACTTATGTTAATTTGGTTTGATTTGAGAATTAGCTGTTAATACAGGGGAAGAGAGGGAATGAGATGGTGAACAGAGAGGCAAGAACAGCTGAGAGAAGACCAGGGCATGTTCTCTTGTGACAGCAAGGAACAGCAAAGCCCTGAGAAAGAGCAAGAGAGCATGTAAGCACAGGAGCTCATACCCTAGAATGAGACCAGGGTACAAGGAGGCAAAGTTGGAGAAAGAGAGCTCCTATACACATTCAGGGAGGCTGTTCCGACGTGCTGTATTTACAGTGCATCAGAGCAGATTCAATTCATCAAGTCTGCTGGAGGATAGTAATTGCCATGCTCCAGCACACCCCAGTGTCATGTGCACTAGCGTCCCTGCGCTGAAAAATGGTGGTGGGGCTCTTTAAACTAAATTTTGTTTGATGAGCTTTAGTTCAAAGCACCCCAATGCCATTTTTCAGTATGGGGATGTTGATACAGATGATGTTCCAGGTGCTTTTAATTAGTGTGACTCCTGGAGCTGCACTAATCAAAGCGCCCCTCCCCTTGCCACAACCTGGACCACATCTATACATGCCCAGAGGAGCTAACTACCATTAGGTTGCATCAATCTAGTCTTTGAAAGAGTCTGTGAGGGACACAAAGGCTACAGTAATTGGAAGTCAAATGGGAGCAGCAGGGACATCTGGTCAAAGAGATAGTGGAAATGTAAAGACAAGTTAAGTGCACCGGTGTAGCTTCTCCCTGATGGATCACAGAATAAAGGGCAAAGGAATGGTCCTAGGAGCCCAGGGGGAAGAACAAGAATACTGATCAGAGGGAGAAAGGAACAGTCTGCCCTGGCCCTGCTGACCTTAGACCTTTGCATATCCAGCAGTCCTGTTTATTGTCTTTGATTTCTTTACACATTCAACAACTTACCCAGCAGTATCAAGGTAATGCAGCATACAGGCAAAAATGCAATGAAATCTTGAGGTAACTCTGAAACAACTTAGAACAACTTCAGAGTCTCAAAACCCTAAAAAAACATATAGTGAAGTAATATGAAAGCAGAAGCAGCTCACCAAGGAGTGCAGCTTTAAGACACTGCTAGAACTTTTTCTCCAGGAGAGCCCGTTTCACTCAAGAATGCTAGAGACTCCCCCTTGAGTAAAAAAAGAGCATCATCGCTACACACCAAAAGGATGGCAACAGGGATTTGGGGTGAGGACATTCCTGTAAGAGGCCCAAAGACAGCACACTTTAAGCCACAAAGATCCAGTCTACAAAGTGCCCCTTGTCAGACTCACCCCAAGAAGATCATCATCAACCAGCAGGAGCCCTTCAAAACCACTTGTGTGGTCCAACACCACAGTAGGAGGCCCAAGGCGCCCATCTATCATCTGATCTGAAATGAGAGTTGCGGAAAAACGAATCAGAGAATGCTGTGTGCATTTAGAATACAATAACTGAATGGACATTATTGGCTAAACTAGAGCTAAATTCTGACATTGAGTAGGAACAGTAAAGTAGTGTCACTAGTATTATCAGAATTTCTGGAAGGGAGATCAGGGCAAGATTTTAAAAGTTTTCACGTAAGTATATAAGGTTTAGCCAAGAAGCAGCCAGCTCACAAGCCAATTTTTACACAATACCTGACACATTTGCCCTTACAGTCTCAGGGGCAATAAGTGGTTTCAAACAGTTTAGAGATGAGGTTAAGCCCCCTACTCCCCTGCCAAAAAAACAAAGTCAAATCAACAGGCACAGGTCAGATCAAACTGCCCAAGGTGCAAAATGTTCCCTTCTTTAGAGGCATTGTCTGGATATGCTCTAGCACAGTGGTTCTCAACCTTTTTCACAATGGGACCCATTAGCATAACTATCAGCTTGCCCTGACCCACACCCTCCCGGTTTGGACCCAGTGTGCTAGTGTGCATCTCTCTCTCCTTCCTTTCCCTCCAGCTGTTGCATCTGGCCCCCTTCCTCCCTCTTCCACTGCTTTATGCTGCCCTGCTGCATGCTCATCACCCTGCACCCTCCTCCCTCCATACAGCCTTGCACTATTTCCCTCAGACTTTCCCACCACCCTTTAAAATCTTCTTCCAACTCACGGGTTGAGAAATACTGCTCTGGCAAATACTTGCCCAACTCAAAGAAACAAGTTCCTAAGAGAATGGATAAAATCCAGCAGGCAGTAGGTCAGGGCTCAGAGGGAATGCAATTAGAATGGTGAAAATGAGTCATTCTCTGGATTCTTCTTCTATCAACATAGCATGGTATTCCACAATTAGAATGGAACACACCATTTCTCCTGGCAAGACTTACTATGTCATTGTAATAAGAAGTGTCCAATCTCTACCCAAACCAGACCTCACTAAACAAGAAGTCCATTGCTTTGCAATTGCCTCCCCATAAGGAAATATAGCTATTACAGTTATAAACTGACCTGCCATTTGGTTAGCCCACAAGTGTTTAATACATAGGATCTCACAAGATGATAGATCAGAAGCAAAGAAAGCAAGTAAGGAATGAATCTCATTTAAGAAACTCTCCCATGAGATACCTTCTTCCCCCACTACAGCAGTATGCAAGGAATCTTTAACAGGACTAGACACCCAGCATCTCCTACCTCCACTGTCATCAGAACCACTGTCCTCTGCTAGCAAACGATCAAGGTGCTCCTGCAGGTTCTGGAACGTCAGGGGTTTTCTGAGAAGGAAAAAGAACGTTTCAGAGGACTCACCAATTCCCCACATTTTAAAGAGTTCAAGCCTTACAGGCCTTGCAAAGTCAGAGCTTCCCCAATGTTCTCACATTGCCTTTCACTGTCACTGCTACTTGCAAGTTACATTTACTTGTGTTATGTTATGTAGCTTAAGCCAAGGAACCTGCTGCCCATGGTGAGGCAGGGTCAAATGTTGAAGCATATAAGAATAGTATCTGCACAGAAAGTAGCTGACATACAGAAGAATCTCAGATCTTTTTGCTGATTGCCACCTGGGCTCAGGAGAAACCCATATAAGGAGTAATGTAAAACTGGTCAGCTGGATTATTAACATTTATTTTTGCATTAGTATAGTACCCCTGGCACAGATGAGAACCTCACAGACTAAGCACTGTATACACTAGTGATTCTCACTCAGGGCACAGAAGTACCCTGGGGTGTCTTGAGATCCTTTCCAGGGTACTATGGGAAGCCACACAATGTTAGGGCTGTTAGGTATGCATACATGAGCCACAAGATAAACCCAGAGATTTCAAATAAGAAACCATAATGTTAAAACATTCTGGCCTCCTGTGGTCTTTGAGTTCTTTGCAACAGAAGAATTGCTTTCTTGTTATTATTTTGTAGTTCAGAAAAAATGAAAACTAAGGCTGACATTTTCTGAGGTGTGAGTTGAGAACCACTGGTATACACAAAGAATTAAGAAATAGATTCCTGCCCAAGAAACTTACAATATGAATATATAAGGAGAGACAATAGAGGTATGCAGACAGAGAGACAGACAGATGAGAGGGAACAAGTAAACAATAAGATAATGCTGGTTGACACAAGAAACCACTGATGTGCCAACTGCTACTTAAGAATGATCAAGACTTTGCAGATATCACAAAAAAAAGAGTTTAAGAAAAGGTCTGGAGGAGAGTAATGAGGTAGCCTTATGGATATTCATAGGGAGCTTCTTCTATACATAGTTTAAGCCAGTGCCCATGTAGCCAGCAGCATAGCTATGGCAAGGCAAGCTGGGCACCAACCCCAGGCACCAACTTACAGGGGATGCCACCAACTTACAAGGGATGCCCCTCCTCCCAGAATTCTTTGCCACAGCAAGAACAACCCAGCAGCTGCAGCCCTATGCCCAGCAGTGTATTTGGGGGTGGGGAGGGAATAACATCATCTCCCCTGGAAGGTTTTGCCGTGGGAAGCACAGCCCTGCTCCCAAGGGTGGGAGGTCAGACAGCACCAAAAGCAGCCCCCCAAGGAGCCTGTACCATTGCCTGTCCCTCAGTGGTAGTCTGAGCTCATGCAGCTACAGCAGCAGCAGTAGCAGCTGCCACTCAAATGAGGAGAGCTCTGGTAGGTAAGATTCTGCCTTTTCTTCCTCTCCCTCATCACTTTCTAGTGATCAGCACAATTTTCCATCTCAACTCCCCCACAGCTGTTCCTGCCACTGAAAGTACTTGCTATACCTCTGTGTGGAGCCACTGGATCCAGCACATGGAAACAGGAGACTTTAGTGACTTTCTAGTGGTGGGAGACTTTGTCCACACTGTGGCTGGGCAGAGGGAACTTTGCCCAAACCGCAGTCAGATGACAGGGAAATGCAATGGTGGCAGCAGCTGCCAGGTCCTTGAACCAGCCCACCTTGGACATGAGCCGGATCATTTCTGCCTCCTGCTTGAAAATACTTACTAAGCACTAGTTTAAACCACTGCTAGAGGAAGGACAGTAAACTATGTAAGCTCTTCCAGCATGGCAACTTGCATTAGCTGAAATACGAGAGGTGTTAACACCTTGGTTCAGGTAACAGTCTTACACACCTCAACACAAATGCAGAACGGGGCTAGCCAGACAGAAGCCATTTTTGGGTCACACCCTGTTTCCCTGCCTGTCTGTCCCTATGTTCTTAAGGCTCAAACCAGCAGACAAAGGAACCCATAGTTCTGAAAATGGAACACACATGCAAATGCAACATTCCAGTGCACACTGGCTGGACAGCTAGTGGCAAAGTAACGTGACAGATCTTCCCCTATAATGTCTGCTTGCCAAAAGCAAATGGGTCAACAGCAATTTTTAGCAGCACTAAAGCTCAGCTATGAGCTCAGAATCTAAGTACAGAATGTGGAATGTGAACCCAGCAGTTCTTTAAATACAAACAGCCAGCGGGAGGAATTCTTCATACAGCTGCCCACTGACCACCAATCTCACCACCTTTAAAGTGACATGATCTGCAATTGCAAGACTGAATGCAAGGGATTCTTACACATAAACATAAAAACAGACTTGAAAACATAACAGGGAGGGGAAAATCAACACTGTAATTTGGGGTCTAGCTTTACTTTTGTTCTTCACAGTTTCCTTCAGATGATATCTAGTAACAAAAAGGCCAATACACCACATTTTACTGCTAAGGCAGCAGAAGAAAGATAATTGCTATAGAAAGTGTCACAGCATTTAACTATAACAATCTAGCATCATATCTAACTAAAAGGTACTGAAGGCCTAGCTTTCATGACTTCTGCACTTTGTATTTTAAATTACTGCCACTGCATAAACAAATTAGGAAAACTTGCGCACAAATGATCAAATAAATGCCCAGCCAGCCATGTATATATGCAATCACCAAATTTACAGTATGTCTGTAAGTAAGCTGTGGCCACAAACATACATGCACAATTCTGAAAATCAAGCCCTTTAAGCCAAGTTGTCTGAGAAGTCATTAAATATGAAACAAAGAAATCACTTCTGCAATGCAATGCTGTTTTCTGATCTGGTTGTCTCGGTGCCAGCATCACCGTGGCCCTGTCACACAGTGACTCTGGAAAGAGCCTATCAGTTAAACATGCCATTATATGTTAGGATCACAGGCACAGCTTCACTTGCCATTAAATGAATCAGGAATCTAGTACCTGTAAGCTGCTGCTGGCAGGTTCCCATCAGCACTGGGAAAGACACGATGCAGATAGGTATTCAGCAGTTTGCTATTCACTATTCCTACAGTGAACAGAAAGAACAAAATGAACGATGGTAAGTCAGAAGTAAAGATGATCTGAGGTGACTTCCTTCAGGGATGGGTAAGAGATCTCCAACTATTTCACAAATCATTCTTGGTGTCATTTAAAGCTTTTGCAGATATTTGTGAACTGCTCTAAGAAGCTGTTGGAATGTGGGATACTGTCAACCACTACCCCTCTAGTCTGACCAAAAGCCCTCCCCAAAACACAAAATTTCACAAGGTGTCCTCACATCTACAGTTTCTTTCCGAGTCTTCCTGGAGGCACAGGAGCAGGCAGATCTAAAGCCAAGCCCAATTTGTCTGAAGCCACAGACTCTCTAGTTTCTCTAATAATAAGAAGCCAAATTACAGTCCTTAGGACAGGTTCTTTCTAGACACAGAACACCAATAAAGTGAGTCAAATACATTCTATGGTCCTTCCTGGCTCAAATGGAGGGAGAAGACCCTTAAGTGTCTTAAAAGTTGTTGTCTATACAGGGGATTTGCACAATTCCAGCCTGTAATTGTTGCACTAAGGCAACATCTAGCTCAGACACTTGAATACTTGGCACCACTGCAGTTCACCTCTGCTTTTAAATAGAGTTAACTTCCCCATGGAAAGTTGGGGCTATGACTAGGATTTGGCATCAACAGATAAGTAAGTAGAATTAAGGAAGAAGATGCCCAGTGTAGAATAGGAACACTTAACTACTTCGATCCACAGGTCATTCTAGGAACAGTTTGGCATTCTTCCCAAACAGCATCTACACATGCGACTCATACCTGTAACCTTAGGCTTTTCCAGCTCAGTACTCAGCCTGTAGTTCTTCCGGACAAAGGCTGTCCCAGCACCTCTTGACGTCATTCTTCGCAGCCGTGAGAACAGCCACTACACTCAAAGCTGAAACCAAATGCAGAATGTTCTGTTACTGGAAAGTTAACTAAGTAGAAAGTTAAACCTGACCTTAATCTCACCTGAGAGTCAGGAAAGAGGGAGACAGTTGTCACAACACATTGTAATTCAATATTTCCCAGCATCTATCCCAGGCCATTGAATCAATCCACAAGAGTACCAGCCACTGTTCTCCAACCCATTCTACCACACATGTTCCATGCTACCCCAACACAGAATCTCCCAGGCAAGCTTCATTCTGAGTTACAGCTGGAGCTAATGCAGAGGTGGGCTAAATGAGGCCTGTGGGCCAGATGTAGCCTGCCAGGCCAGTCTATCCGGCCCGCAGGACTCCTAAAAAATTCAGAAAATTAATATTTATCTGCCCCTGGCTGCCTGTCATGCAGCCTTCCCCTCCCTCCCCACCCCCCAATGGCTTGTCAAAATTCAGTAAGCAGCCCTTTGCCCAAAATAATCGCCCTCCCCTGAGCTAATGAGTGGGGGTAGGGCTATTGTAATACACCAAAGCCCCCCATGGAAATCCCTCTTTGAAGACGGTAGGCAGAACAGCCTTATAATGAAGTACTAAGATAAAATATTCCCACACTTGACAGGGCAATGTTCTCTACATGCTCTTTGATACAAGTATATTGATACCCAACAGCTTTTCTATCTGCTAACTTTTCAAGCAGGAGCCAGCGTAGGCAGCAAGATGGGGGAGGACACAAAGGAGCCTGAACGTGACTACAGCAGAATGTCCATGGTTGCAAAGCAGATGGGAGGGCTGAGGTTACTCGGAGGCTTTAAGAGACAGAATTTCATTTAGCTGCAAAAGAAATAGATGTGACATGTTTATAAAGTTAAAACCTAGCACTTATCTGAAGATTTGAGCCTTCCCAAGATCACTAGAATACAGGAGGCAAGACACCTCAAGCAATACCCCCTATATTTGAGTGCATCACGCACACAAATCAGAGACTAAAACAGTCCTCTACCATTCACCCCAGGTGTTTAAAAGGCAGGTGTCAAAAAGCACAGATCTGCAAGCTGGCTGTACTCTAGACATCACTTATGAGCCATCCCCTATGTATGAGCAAGCAGCACATTGGGGGAAAAATCATTGTAATCTTCCCTTGAGGGCAAATACTTGATAAACAACACTGATTTTTTGTTCTAAAGAAATGGAGCAGAGGGATACAGCAAAGGTATAGGTAGCATGAAGCAAGTATATGCTTCATTGTTGTAGACAGTACCGTATCAGGTGCAGAAGGCAGCTGAAAAGAAAACTGGAGAACTGCCTACCCACTCTACTGGAGTATTATCTAAAAACCACATTACAAATAATTCAAAGTTAGGCTGTACTAAAACCACAAAGTGGCTTTTATCAGAGATTCTGGTAGGAACTGAATAACAAAACTACTGCACTACAAACACTGCATACCTTTCAAGCTCTACACATGGTAGCCAGTACTATGCAAGCTTTCTAAACAGGCAAGGCAATATTAAACTTGCTTCTGCTAATGCTGAAACAGCTCAAAGAATTCTAAACAGGGAATCCAATTCACTTTTTCCAGAGCTGTACTGGCTTATTCTAATCCATCAGAATGCTTTGAAACAGTGAAGAAAACCGAAGAGAAACCACCAACATTGTAGAATATTTTAGATTTTCTAAGGACAAGTATTCTCCTTGCTCCCCTCACCATAACAGCACTAAGGAAATGTGATAGGAACACCATAAAAAGGTGAGGTGCTGCCACGGTGACCAAGCACTTGTTAAGTCTACAAGAAGCAAACAGCCAATTCTCAGCCTGAAAACATTAGAAGCCAGTGTCTGTAGATTACTGCCAGAGCCATTGTTATCAACAGGTCTAATAACTTCCTGAAAGACAGAATGGAAAAAGATGGCGTGGCAAAAAACTACCATCAACAAAGGATGTTGTTTAGCTGCTCAGTTTTTGCAAAGGCCTGACAGATCAACAGGCAGTACAAATACAGATCTAGTTGAACACTAAAAAGAAAAACATCATGCATGTGGGACATGTACTGCTATCCGTCTGCTGCATTCCCTTTTGGTGTTCCTTGCCAAATGCAACCAGTTTTCCTAACTAGATTAGTGCAGGTGGCTCCGCGATATGCCTTCTACAAGGTTGCCACTGCCAAAACTTTATCTAAAAAGGACTAAAACCAGATAAGCATAATATCCATCTTTGATGCAATATCAGAAAGCAAATTGAGACCACTCTTAACTAGAATCTACTGCCTACTTCCAGAAATAGACTCTCTATTTCCTGGAGGCAAAAGGAAGTTCAGAGTGGCAATATGATTCTTCCCAGTATCACTGGAACACAGACTACGATAGTGATGCTCAAACTGGGTACCCATGGTACCTCGGAGTGTCTTGAGATCCTTTCATGGGTACCAGGAAGCCATGCAGTCTTAACACTGTTGGGTGCGCAAATGAGATTCACAACATAAACCTAGAAGTTTCATATAGGAATTCATAGTGTTAAAAGAATTCTGACCTGTTCTGAATTTTTTGCTAAAGGAGAATTACTCTATTATTTTTCTGTGGTAAAAAAACACTGTCCTTTTACAAGGGATACCTTGAGTCTATCAAGGGGTGCCTTAAGTCTACAATGGCTGAAAACAGCTGGACAAGGATCACAAACACTACATGCACCGCACTTTTGTTTCCCTCATGATATATAGCAGAAACTTTCTGGAGGACAGTCAGTGGCCTCAGTCCTTTTGGAAACCATAAAAATGGCATCTTTATTAGGGGCCTCCCCACATTATTGTGATTGTAAGCATGTTTACTGGTAGCACAGATAGCTTTACTTCCATCAAAACAGCTAGCATATCAGATAACTGAAAAAAATGGGTCAGATGGGAGAAACTACTTAACTTCACTTACTTATACAACTTGATTTTTCTATGTACCTTTGATAAATGCTGATGAGTCTCAGCTATACAAAAAGCCTCCTGCTTGCTAGCTAAAGGGACATGGAAAACATACCAGACACTAAAGAAATCTCTTACAGGCATCATTTTAACAACAGTAAACACATTTGATTAAAAAAAACAAAACAAAAAAAAACACAAAATTCATTGTTACCTAAAACCTATGTAGGTTTGGGGAAGAAACAATCTTTCTTCCACGCAGAAAAATGCATGAATCACTGAATAAGAAGCTGAATCTGGTCTTAATTACAGAGAAGCTAATACCATTATATAAATGACTCCATTTCTGCCTAGGCTTGCAGTTCAGGAACTACAACTCCAAAGGATGCTGCTTTCAGGGTCAGAAGCAGAGGTATCTCCTCTGGCCACAGTGCAGGCAGCCAAGTACCCCATACTATTTACATTATATACATGTTATTTCATACTGCTACAAAGTGCGTAGTGCTACAAAAAAATCATTACAGGGTATGCACATGTGAAGAGCCCCTGGCGGGAGCACAATGAAGTCACCACAAAGGTACCTTCTCAGAGCAGGGAGTGATAAGGAGCTGCTCCTCAGCATCCCCTGCCCCTAGGGGAGTCAGTCAGTAAGGGGGACAGACCCAATCGGCTGTTGCCACAATGGGAACAGCTAAAAGGACTGCCTACAAGTCACCTACAGCATCAAGGGCTAACTGGACAGCCTCTACCACCCAATCAGCCCCAGCTGTCACTGCAGCCCCAACACCCTTTAATCTGGGCAGCAAGTGATGGGGCTGCTGGAAAACCACCTGTGGCTGTAAGATCTGGTGCAGTTCACAGACGCCTCCAATACCTACCCCTTTTGCACATTTACCTGGAGTGTGCCAGGTTGCAGCCCTTGCAACACCTCCTCCGGAATCTCCTGCTGAAGTTCTGGCTACACCACTCCCCTCAACTTGTTATTTATATGCTCCCTGCCCGTAGCCCCACCAAGGCACAGGACCTTTTGGTCAACATCCTCCTGGCCCTGGGCAGGAAGGAGGACCTGGGGGCTGTGGGGCTGCTTTCTTCACCCTACTTTGTTCCCATCTCTGAGCAGAGTATCGCTGGGCAGTGTCCACTGGCTCCTTGGATTCATCTGAGGGCCAGTGGGCACTGTCTGGTGTGCTCTGCTCAGCATCCCCCCTTGGCATTCTCCTTTTGAACCTCTGACCTCCACTCCTGTCCCTGTTTTTCCATTATTTGTCCCCAGTAATCAATTGAAATCTTTTTCTGTAGCTTCCCCATCTGAGGGAGGCTAAAAAAATTAAGTGGTGGGCCTGGACCCATACCCCTGAAGGATGACAAATAGGCCTGTGGGGCTGTAAGGGCTGACAGGGCAGGTCTTTGCCACCCAATCAGACTGTGCTGCTGTAGCAGCCCCATTATCCTTGCCACCTGGTGGCAGGGGAAACAGGACAGGCTGCAAACTACATGATGACATGGACTTATTACAGGGGTCAACAAAATATGGCCCGCAGCCTGGATCCAACCCACAGGGGGACTTTGTCCAGCCCACAGTGGGTCCTGCAGTCCCACCTGGTCCAGCCCATGCCGCATCCCACCTCCCCCTGGGCACAGTGGGGCTGGGGCGGCTCTGCAGCTGGCCTGCCTTTCTAGGTAGCCCAGGCAGTGGCAGCTCCTTCCAGCTGCTGCTGCCGCTGGCTCCAGCCCAGTGGGACCGGCGTGCACAGTTCCACCCCGGCCTGCGCCACACCTGCTCCGGACTTGGCCCAAATGAGCAGACCAGCTCCTGACTAGCCAGAACCCATGTGCACAGTCCTGACCCGGGCCTGCCTAGCGCCTGCTCCAGACTCACCCACCCATGCTGAGCAGTGGCCTGGCAGAAGCTGTTGCCTGGCATAGGGAAAAGCAACCCCTCCCGTCTGCTACTGCCAGGCCCTTACTGCTGCCCAGAGCCCACACCTGGGCTGTCCTGCGGCTCCTCTGCACTGCCACCGTTGCCCTGCCAGGCAGCCTGGAGGCAGTGGCGATGGTGGCAGAGAGAAGCTGCAAGGCCACCCAAGGAATGGGCTCTGGGAGGCTGCAGCAAGAAGGGCCTGGCAG